CATGCCTTCTATAGGGGAGTCTGGGGACTAGGGGAACTTTAATTTTCGTAATTAAAATGAAAACTTTATGTCTACAGAAACAAAATTATCTACAACTGATACTAACAACTTTTATAGGAAAAAAATTCCAATGAGGAGCACAGAATTAGATGCAGGCTTTCAATATTCATCTATATTCAGTGCTAAACCAAATTACTGATAAGGCATCAGTAGGCAAAAAAACAACACAAACAAAAACACTTTAAGTATCAGCTGGCTTCAGTTTGTTTGCTAAATTACTCACTGAGGTTTAGATGAACAAGGTCCTTAACTTAAAGATCAAGTGTCAGAAAGAAGAGGGACATGTCTGTAAAGGTTCTCAGTCATCCAGGTCATCGTGGTCTAAAGAGCTTGGAAAGAAAAGCGTCTGGACTTCTTTTAGTTTCTTGAAGATGTTTCACCTCTCATCCGAGAAGCTTCTTCAGTTCTAAAAACTGAAGAAGATGAACCATTTTCTTTCCAAGCTCTTTAGACAAAGAAGAAGGACATTTTCACAAAGAGAGTAACAACTGGTTCAACAGATGCTTAGAAGAGCTCATCTACACCAATAATGAACCGTCTTTTGAAGTGAACTGCTGATAGTCAAGCTATCAGCAGCTCAGGATGACACAGCACAGAAATATGAGTAATCCAAACAGTGTGCAGCACCATGAAATCTGTGCCCCTCATCTGTGCCCCTCATCTGACCCAGTGACCCATTTCTTCACTTCTGGCTAAAGCATTTTTCTTTACATATGAATCCAAAATTCCAAATTCAGTGGAAAAAGTACCTGTGGATATAGTAGCATGACTGCCTTGTTTAAAGGCACTACTAAATTGTAATCTCAAAAAAGAAAAAAAGAACATCCTATTTTGTATTATATGCAAGGAATGACAAGAACACCCCTGTTGCATGTGAAAATCCTTCTGCTCTAATTTTCACAGTAGCACATTAAGGTTCAACACGGGAAAGCAAACAAATTTACAGCTGCATACAATGCAACTCCCACACGATTTTATAAGACAGCATTGTGAAGTGACAATAAAAGCTAAAACCCCTAATTACAGACTAAAGTACAGGAATAAACCTAAGGGAATAAACCCTGAGGTGGATCTGTCTGCTTGATCCTCTTTTAAGCATTCAGGTGGAAAACATGAGTGATAAATGAGTGGAAAATATGCATTGCATTATCTGTCTGTGTCTCCCATCAGAAGTTTCTCACAGCTGTAAATATGGGGAACATCTGGCCCTCAAATGTAGATCAACAGCAAGGTGAACACAGGTTAGGGACATTTTTTGCCAGCACTTTGTCTTAGGAGAAAGCATGAGCACAGCATATTTCCAATATATCACATGGTTAACTTTAGAACTAACCGGCCATTTCTCAGGACTTCTTGAACTTAAAATGACTTTTGACTTATTGCTTTTGGCTCACAAAAATTAAACCACAGATAAGTAAGCATGCAATTCCACACACGCAAACAAACCTAGATAAACTGAGTAAAGTATAAGTTAGCAACAGGTGAACAGGCACTTCTGCAGGGTTAAAATAAACTATCTGCTTCACAAGTAAGCAAACAAGATTTGCTAATGATCACATCTGGCAAAATTATGGACAAAGGGAGTTACTGAACTTTTGAGAAACTGAGGAAAAATTAAAGAACCAGTAAATAAAGTCATACCAGTGCTATGGATGGAATCATAACATTTACTGAGCTTTTATGTCATCAGACCCATCTCCAATCACAACTGAGCAAAACTGCCTCCCTAAACGGGTTTTGTCAAACCACCCTGAAATCATTTTGGGAACAGCAATCTGTGGTGGATGCATGCAACTGTGCCCAGCTGTGTACTAACCGCAATCAGATAATTGGTTGACAAAATGCAGAAGACAATTTACCAGTAAGCTAAACTTGTGACGTCCACTAAAATTCAACAAAACAGGCAAAATGACTTGACTAATCCACAAGACTCAGATAAATTACCTAACTAAACATTTAGATGCCTGTACGTCTTAACATCAACATAATTCTTATATCAACTTTCAGCCTAGTTTGACGTAGTTTGTGGCAAGGCTGTACTGGTTTTTACAGCAAAACCCTCATTTTTTATAATGTATTCTGTATGCAAAGGCCTGTTACATGAATGTGAGAATTTAAATACTACTAGAGTATATGTTCATCATTAATACATTATATACATTTACTTTCTGATAAGATATATATCACTATTTCAATCTACAACCTGACACCTGTGGTGGAAAGTAAGATAAAGATCCAGTCTATTGATTCAACATGTCTTGTTTCTGAATTTCTAATTTGTCCCATCAAGTAAAACAAAATGTACAGAAGTACTAATGTTGAGCAAGCACGCCCTGACTGATGAAGTGTGTCTTCAAACTCTGCAGATCACTGTACTTCAGCCAGATAATGGCTATGAACCAAGCTTTCCACTTTCAAGCTGGGAAATCTGAATGTATCATTGTGCTCCAAAGTTTCGCTGAATTGAGTTACAAAAATGGACATGCAGATTTAAAACATGTGCCTTGAGTTGACAAAACAGTCAACAAATCTTAAAAGATGTTCAGCAAAGGCTGTGATATTATAACATAGAATCTATATTTTAGATTTTATTTTTTATAAGTATTCTTGCTTTGGATATTTTAAAAGGAATGCGTTGCTTTATTAAAAAGGCACTAGATATGTTGTTAGTCACTAAAAGCATGTTGGCATAAAGCAGCACTGTAATGGCAATTCAAAGTAAACACATATCTTTTCTGTTTTCTTTGGTGCAACTCCCCACATTCCATGAATTGTTTTCTTCTAGATTGATGGCAGGCCAGGCAAAGATAAAAAACAGTTTTAAATCCTTGTGGATAACTTTTAATAATTCATAGATCACAGAACAACCCCTGCAACACATTGACAATCTGGGTAGGGTGTACTCTGCATCTCGATCCGTGATAACTTTGATAAGCTCCAGCCTAACCATTAGCAAAAGAAGATGGGTGGATGACAGCACAAACTAAACCCTTTCAATAATTTTTTTAATTGAAAGCAGCTTTGAGTCACAGGTGAGTAAAGTTATCACAGGTCACATGATTTTTCATTACTGAGGCATTCTGACCGGTTATAAAACTGTGGGTGATGTAACTTAGCATTAAACGATTCACGCTATCGAGTACAGAGCTCACAGTGTCTATGATCTGAAGATACCTGCATACATATGCACCTATGCCGTGGCTCCAAGGATTGGATTCTGTAAGGTTTTATCCCAGTCAAACAAATGCAGGATCAGGAAGTTCTAGTTTCAGAGTTTTGCTGACTTATGATCACTTCAATGGGAGAAGCTTGCCCCAATAATAAAACTGGCTGAAGTGCCATTATAGTAATTCCAGTCTTCGGTGTGGTACTAGAATCCAGACTGAACACTTAGATCTATCAGACATGAAAATGTGGCTACCGGAAGCAAAGATAAAAAAAAACGAATGACAAAAGATCTTGTAGCAATCTGTCTTGATGTGTTACATTGTGTACAGCAATCAACCAGCTCGGAAACCAGCTTGTTTGCTTTTGCTTATTTAGGTCTGATGGCTGCAGTGTTTTGGTTCCCTGCTGTGTGTAGTCTTTCGTTGGCTCATTTTCATTCATCTTCAGTCCTGAAAGCCCTTGAACCTAACCACCAGAGGAATGTTTTTTCTTTGTTTGTTAAGCAACTTAACACAGGCCTATGAATCATTTAACCAAAGAAATACCAAACCCCCAAACTCGAGGGATGAACCAGTGTTGTATCTATGCATCACAGACAATTTAACCGGAACCAGTTTTAAACTTTAAATCAGGGAGAAAAGGATGAGTTATGCCAACTTACAAAAGAACTGGACTAAAAATCAGTGCCAACAGGTCTTGTGGAATGATAAATCCAATATTTTTATGGGGGCTTTTTAGCCTTTATTGTGATAGGAAAGTGCAGAAAAGACAGGAAAGCTGGGTGAAAGACTAGGGGAAGAATGCATAAAATGGCCTTGGGGCAAATTTGAAACCAGACCTCTGCATTAGCCTTATAATATATGGGAGGCTTGCTGAACTTACTGAGCTAAACTGGCACCGCAATGAATTGTTGTTCTATGTATGAAGGAGGTAAAGAGAGAGGTACAGCCATCTGTAAGACACAGAAGGCTCTGTCATGGCTCGGTGCTGGATTTCAGCCAGTAGCATTAGGGATATTGTCAAAACTGATGGAATTATGGATGTAGAAAATTACCATCAATGGAACACTTTCAGTCATGAATAGGCTTTCCCAGAGCTTGGACCTCCACACTATTGAAGCAGTTTGCGTCCATCTTTACGGAATCAAAGGAATCAAAGACAACCAACATCCAAAGAAGAAGAGCTTTGGATGTTTTTAAGAAGCCTGGAGAACTATTCCTGAATACTACATAAAGAGGAGTTCAAGATGTGTTGAAGAATAATGATTGTCATACCAAAAATTTACTTTCAATCACTGGAATTATAGAATCTGTACTTTTGGCTTGCATGAATTCACATGTTTCAAAAAAATGCTGCACCTGTTTCTTATTTTCATAGCATAATGTAAAGAAATGAACAGTACCTCAAGATTTTTGTATAGCATTGTAGATATCGCACTATAAACTGCATGGTTACACAGGCTACCTTGCTCAGTAACCTAGCTAGGGTTAGCTCCCTACAAAAAAAAATGTGAATATTGCTAAAATGTTAAACTCAGTTCATTCCACAAAATGATAGGTGACATCAAGTCAATCATTTGTCACATTTAAAGTATTGTGTTGACTATACTACGCAGTGAGTACAGACAAAGACACCTTAATAAGTCGTGGCATGTCATGTTACCCAGAGGAGATCATTCAGTTTTCATTGGAATATGAAGCAAAGATATTTTATCGAGGCACATCATTGCATATTTATCTATACACAAAAACAAACAGTAATCAGAGTCTTACCTGTGGTGTAGCAGGGTTGAAGGCCACATTAAGCACAGTGTCTGAGTGGTTTTGTAATCTGTGGAGATAGTTGCTGCTACGGATGTCATACACATAGGCCTGCAATTAAGGACACAATGAATGTATACAGAAGCTTAGTGTGTACTATTGTACTTACAACACACAATTATGTTCTGACCGAGCATGATGATAATGCAGATCAACTTGAGTATCATTTCAGCTTCAAGGGTAAATGTTTATCTTTTTTTGTACTTCCAGACACAAATGACATTTAATATACAGTGCATGTATATAGTAAAATGTCCAGCCAAGATTGATTGCTAGGGGTAAATGTCCAAAGACCAAATTTCTTGTAAACAGGAGTATTAAAGTGATTAAAGCTTGTCCAGAAATCAGACATGTATAGCAACACTAAAAATCATGCCAAAGTCAATCATCCTTCGTGCTGGACTAATCTCAAAATAACTGAAGTTCAATAGAGTAAATAAACATGGAATTTTAGCAGTTTTTCAGTAATTAACAAAATCTGTAATTTATCAAAAAACGGTTTGCATTGTTTTTATGTCCTATGCTTCTTCTTATATTTACTGAGTAGTTTCCTGATTCCCGAGTGCTCGGATAACCTGTGATATAAATAATGGTAAACAGTGATGAAGAAGGTCACTTTAAACATCTGAGTGTTGGATGCTGATTTTCAGCTTTAAAAACTGTGTAAGCGTAAATTTTAATGTCAAAACATAAATACTCATACTGAAGTTTGTTGCACAGACAGATCTCAAAATAGTGAACATCTCAAAATCAAGCTGCCATTACCAATTATAACAAAGCCTTTCAGATACTGCGTGTTACTAGTGTATTTTGCTTTGAGGTAGTTAGGAATTGTTAATCACCCCTGTGGGAGTTGTGGATTTTATACTTCCTCTCGTTGATTTAAAAAAAGAAAACCCCCAAAAATCGTTAGCGTACTGAGTGGCTCCATCTGTTTCATTTGAGACCTTAGAACAGAAAGTTTGTTATTGTATACTTTTTCTAAATATAATCAGTAAGTTTTTAGAAAAATGCATTAACCTCAGTGCCATAAGGACAGATAAAAACAGATGTGGGGATGTCTGCTACAAGATGAAGACTCATCAAATTCCTGCAGCTGTTTTGTATCATGTTTCCCCGAAAAAAAGAAAAAAAAAAACCCTGCTTCAATTGAATCCTGTCAAAAGAGTGACTCCTGTCTAAGGCTTATGAAGTGTGTGATGCCTGAAAGGGATTTAGGTATATGGAAGAAAAAAGTTCTCTTAGGAATGTTTTAATATCACATGGATCACATGATGTATCAGTTTATGTCAATAGTAACTGAAACGGAGCAGAGCCCAGGGTCAGGAGGGTTTGCAATATATCACTGAGCATATATTCTGATTAATAAATTGATAATTAAGTCACAGTTTCATGATAAGAAATAATACATATTTCATCTGTATACAGAAAAGCTTAATATCAGCCATGCTAAAATGATATTCCACTTCGGTTACTTTTGGGCTAAGATTTTTGGAAAATGTGTAATATGATCTAGGGAGTCTTTTTTAGACCATTCAGGTTACTTTTTTTCCATGATTGCTTTTTGATATATTAAGACAAGTACAAATGTGTCTGGCTCATATAAGTCTCAAGGCAGCTACAAATAAATACGATGTAGCTCACTACCGTATACTCTCCCAGTTTCCAAGAAACGCTGGAAATGACCGATCTCAACAGAGATGCAAAAGTCTGTGCTGTGCTGAGTCCCCATAATTAATAAGAATCGGCAGCATGCATATATTATTCCACTGCTTTCAACAAGCACGTATACGAGAAGAACAGAGAGATGGATAAGGAAAAGGGAGGCTGTCTTCTGGAAACGTCTTGAAAGTAAGGCAAGTTCTGGAAAAGCAATTAAACAGTTGTGCTTCAACATGAATGTTGACTTCTTTGGAAAAAGGGTTGAATCCAAATACAAATCTCTGAGTCAAGCACAAACAGTCCTTTCCTTAAATGGAAGTAAAACTGATAAAGATATTAATCATTTTTGCTGCTATTTTTACCTTCCTAAGGTCAGTTATGTTGTAGTTTTAACTTGGGTGACAACATTTATTAGCCAAACATTAGCAGGTAGAGAACTCTAAAACTAGGGTGCCACATGTGAGACAGCTCTGGCATCCATGTGAGCAAGTCTGAGACTGAAAGTGAATCTATAGGAAGGAGGATCAGGGAGCAGGCGGTGAGGAGATACGGCATCTTGGGAGATATGAGAAGGTTAGGGTTTGGGAATTAATTTTTAAAGTTAATCTTGTAGGTCTCAGTGATTTTGCAATGAGTAGAGGTATTATATAATTAGTGGATTTAGAATCAGTCTTGTTGAAGCCATCACATTTTGCCAAACCAAGGCCATAGCTTTTTTTCTTTGTCCCGAACTGAACCACTTGGTTCTACAGTGCACAAGTCACGTGTTTGGTTTGCTTTCCTTCTTCACACCAGTTTGAGTGATCTTACCTGTAGTGTCCTGTAATGGTACAATTTAAATTTCCATTTCTACCAACTCCTCCAAAAGCCATTCTGAATACCTGTGCCATGGGCATTTCGCCAAGCAGGATCATATAACATAAATGTTTTACAACCAGGACATGTATATCTATTTTATGTCTAAAATACTTGGCCATCTCTCAGGTGCTGTGCCAGGTCTTTGCTGGATTATTCCTGTTTCTTAAGGACATGAGACTGTCTGACACTATACAATATACTATACACTGACACGATAACATTTTTTTTTATCTGTTTGCAATGTATACAGGTGGCTTTGATGGACCCAGTGAGACTGCTTACACAGTTATCCTCAGAGCCAGTGGCAATGAAGCGTCCACATGGCGAAATGGCTGAAGAGCAGGGCTGGCAGCGATTTACATGGTTCTCATAACGCCGTACACACCTGGTGAGAAGAAGCACACAGTGGTAAGAAATCACTGATGTTAATAAATTCAAACAACTTTATGTGACGTACAGACTTGATGCTTGACCAGTGATCCTTTATATTAGTTTGTATGTTATAAGGCAATCTAAAAGGTTTTACTGGGTCTAGTAAACTTAAAATAAATGTTTGGGAAATGGGATATCTTTGGTACGCATGCTATTTCACAGTGCACACATTACGATGCTGAAGCGTTGAGCTGAAGGTGCAAAATATATGGAACAGAAGGAGAACGGCACTCCATGGACTGCTTTACAAACAACTGAACCAGCTGAGCACAGGGAGTTGAGCATGACTCAAGGAAAACACAGGAAAGAGACTTCGTTAATGAAAAATGTTTCCCTCATGCAACTTCTGTGCTGTTTCATTTGGTTTGCAAAGGCATGTAATGTCTTTGCAATGCCACTAACAGGTAACTAAGCTAGTGCCTCTATATGAGCTGGCATAGTGGCAGGCCAGTGCTTTGACAGCATCTGGTGAGAGCATGTCTTTGACATTCATATGCTAATGTCATTAAGTTGGGCTAAAAGTAGGGCATATTCACCGACCATAAAGAAATCTGATATACCCAGTACCAGAACTTTATGGAACTTATAATGTTGAGTTGGTGCTAAACTGTGCCAGAAAACTGTTTGATCAGTTTAATGGCATGCTTTCTTTCATTGCTCTTCTCTCGTATTCAATGGGATTACTTAATTATCTATTTTTTTCAGGATGACGACATTGTCAGCTGACTATGACATTTGCTCATGTAGCCCTCAATAAAAAGGCCATATGATAGAACAGAAGCAACAAGATGGGACAGTCCATAGGTTTTCCTCTTCAGATTTTGGAAAGATTTCGAACAGTTATTTCTTAAATAATGAACTTTTTCGTCACAAAAAAACTTCTTTTCTTTTATAATACACAAACTTTCTGTCTGTGTTTGCTTCATTTTTCATCAACTCTGACAAGATCAGGAGTTTAGCAGCCAAACTTGACATGCAGTTACATTTTAGGCCCATGAAGGTTCTTATCTATATCAGCAATGGGGTAAAATGACCCTTCAGTTACAGGTGCATCTTCACCATATAAAAGTGTTTTATCAGTTTAAATTTACAACGATAAAGTCTTATTTATATCCACAAAAGCTATTTTAAAATCATACATTATATCTATATAGTGTTGCCTAGCAACAACCTAGCAACAAAACCAATTTTTGTTTGTATGCACTGAAAATTATGAAAGAGGATTAGGGCTACTGGGGAAAAAAGTGGTCACGTCTTTATTTTCTTCTTTTCCAGACTGACTTTTTTCTTGGAATTCTGACTTTTTCCTCTGAATTATTTTTTCTCAGAATTCTGACTTTTTTCCCAGAATTTTGAGATTAAAGTCAGAATTCTGACTTTTTTTCTCCTAATTCTGACTTTTTTCTCAGAATTCTGACTTTAATCTCAGAATAATTTTTTCTCAGAGTTCTGGAAAGAAAGAAAAAAAAAAGACTTGCCCACTTTTTTTTTTTTTTCGGTGGCCCTAATCCTCTTTCGTGGAAAATACCTCATAGAAACATCATTTGAATTTCAACAGCACAAACAGGCCAAACAATACTGTAGCACATACAAGTTATTACCTGTTCTGATTTCTAGGGCAACATTACTACATCTTAACATTTCTGCGCTGCAACAGTACTTACACAAATTGTCACTACTGCACTTTAAAAAACACTTTAGCAGTTCACAGTAAGCACTCATCTGGTTTTCTAGGCCAGAGCGTGAAGCTAATGTTTTGACTGAAGAAGGGAAGATGAGTTACACACATACACACTCTATGTTGCGTAAGTGATAACTATCTGGCATTTTACAGATCACTACACCAGAGGGTATGATCCTCTTGAGTGAGAGCCGATACAGTTATTGAATCCACTTGGGTATTCGGTGTCAGTCATCAAGGTAATCAGCAGGGTAATCCTAGCTCATTATATTCTGCCAATACATTTCAGAATATTATCAGATAAGAGCTGGCTTTTTCTTAATATTACTTCATGTAAATACATTGTTTATGTATTTCTTCACATAGATTCAGACTGATTAAATTATGGAAAGTGAAGCACATCACCATCTGTTCTCTATTTTTAGAATCAGCATGTCATCAATTTTGAATCATGCTTAATGCTGGTGTGTACACCCTTCAACTGGAACATTGCATACATATCAAAATACAAGTGGTGACTGAAAGGTTATGGCTTTAAAAGTACTTTAACCAATATAGTGGATCTATACAGTATACTAAACTAATTGTTTGGCAAAGTGGCCATGGTCATCACGTGCTGACGGACAACAGCTGTCCTGGCAATCCTGCAGCTGTCAAACGAAACATGACCACTTATTTAATCAGAACCTTCTAAGAAAATGCCTGGTCTGATTGAGTTCCTGAGTAATCTTATTCTCTGCTTGTCAGCACAAATTCAGTGCATCATCGTATAACATTTTTCGATGAAAAGACATTTCCATTTTAACTATTGTGCATTTCCTTTGAAAAAATTTAACGCCATTACAATTATCATGGGATAGAGACAACATTTGCGTCACATATCTGAAATGTCCCGGTACATATAAGGGTCAGTTCATCAAACTTACACACACGCACACAGTCGTGTCTTCATATCCTTGTGCGGACATCTAATTGACAAAATGCTTTCCCTAGCCACTTACCCTAACCATCAAAAGTGAATGCAAAGCCCTAACCCTTACCCTATTCTGAACCCATAACCTAATTGTATCCCTGACACTAAAACCACATTTTGAGTCTCAAAAATGTCTTCAAACTTATGGGCCGATAGATTTTGTCCCCATAAGGGACTTGTTGGGCCCCACAAGTTTAGTAAACTTCAAATTTTGGGTCCCTGCAAAGATATTTGATAAACAATTTTAACACTGATTTGATTACTTTGATTAGCAGTAAACAAGACTGAAATATTTATTTAGTGGCCTGGTGCCATGTTTTGTGGTTAATAGTCGTTAATTGTTTTCATCCATGCGTATGTTTCACCTCCAAAGAACTCTGCGTACTGAGGGATGTTTGATAAAACCTCTTAAAATGAGGGGTTGACCTAGAAACGAGCCACAAATATTTATCAGATAGCATTAAGATTTGATGGAGGGACGGAAGAGGAGTTACACATGGAAGCAGCTTCAGGCATGAAAGAATGAAATACTCAATAATGCCATTGAACTCGGCCCAAAAAAAAAGAAGAAAGGGAAAAAAAATCCAAATCACTGAGGAATGTTTGTGTAAGAAAATGTTGAAGTTAGTCGAATATAAGGTCATCTTCTTAGTCTCAACAAAAGAAGTGTAATAAAAATGATTTCTTTCCTAACGTTCTTGGACTTATGAGAATCTGGAGGATTTGGTGAAATAACACTAGACTCAGAAGCCAACCTTCATCCAGGTTTGTCAACAGGTGATAAAGGTTGAATAGGAATGTTACAAATTTTGGCAAAATAATTTCATAATGAAAAAGAAATTTTCAGAATTTCCAAGCATATTGATCACTATTACTTCCTTTAATGTATAGTATTAGGAGAAAATCTTGAGCTAGCCCTCATTTCCTTGTATTTTGCTAACAAGGAGACATTCTAATCCTTTCTTAAAGTAGTCTTGTGCAAGAGTTATCCAGGCTTCAGTCCAATGCTTGTACCTGACTGTCTTCAGAGGAATGTTGTTTTTGTTTGTTTGTTAAACCACTTAACTTTGGCCAATGAATCATTTAAGCATAAAAAAGCCACTAAATCAAGGGATGACCAGGAGTGTCTTCATCTTTATCTTTTGGCACTTTGTTACAAGCAGCCAGTTGCAAAGACACACATTTTCTTCCCATTTCTTTATCTGGCTTTATCAAAATGCTAAAGATAAAAGAATTTTGCAGATCTAAAATAGTATTTTTGCACTAACAAGGTAATTCCAACAGAGCTATTAGCTGAAAACTTGGCATGTCTCTACATGTTGTGCAGTATGAAATCAGTGCAGCACAAAAGATGAAGAGGCATCCGAAAAGAATTCTTTCATACTGATGACTCCAAATTTGACATTTTTAGTTCAAATTGTTGTCAATGTGTACAGAGGAGGTACAACAATGAGAACGTTAGCTACTGATACAACAGTGCTCATGGTGTTAAAAATATGAATGCCAAAAAGTACAATCAGATTGTGATCCACTCGTGAAATACCATCTAGAAAGTCGGCAACAATGCTTACCAATTTAAAAAACTAAAATGTTAAAAAAAACAAAACAAAAAAAAAACAAAAGTCGACAAACTGATCTGTGACATCAGGGTTACTTGATCTTTTATATACTTTGCTCAAAGCCTTTGCAAAAAGAAATCTTATGTAGTAAATCATTTACTACATAAGATTGTTGTAGTAGCATTTACAGCATTTACAGTAATTTACAATTACTGTAAATGCATTAGCTACTGATACAATAGTGCTTATAGGTTTTGAACATGATTTCCCTTTAAGAAGCAAGAGACTACAGTAGATTATAAAGCACAATTTTCCTTGCCTTATGATCATATTAAGAGTACATTCAATACAAATTGCACAGAATATGTTACAATAATACAGACCTAAGTGTTCGAAGGTCCCAAATCTTCATACCATCAGTGACAGCACTGGTCAGGAAGAGGTTGTATGAATCTGGAGCCTGTGAGCTAAACGCTGATCCCTTTAATGATACACAATGAACAAAACAGCTTAGTCAGCACAAGCTTTACCTGAAAATGGATATAAATCTTCTTTTTTTCCCTAACTTTTTCATGACTATACTATTACTATAATGTATACTACTTCAAAACAGAAGGTGATATTTAAAAAAAAATCATGCTGGGCTGTAAAAACAAATAACGGAAGCAAAAGTGAGGTTAGGTGGGAGTGTCTTTGTGTCATCACTGTTTTTTAGTTAAATAGAAAAGCAAAGAACTTCTACTACAAATCTATCCATCTATTCCACACAGCTCTTTCAGACCAACTTATTGAATGCTATAGGTAAATGTGTAAGAGAGAAAAGCTTAGGGAGAGCCGGAGAGAAAAAGAGTTAGAGAGAGAAAGAAGCGGTGGGGGGGATTGTTTAGATTTCCACTGAAAGTGTGAGAACGGCAGCCTGAGAGGGCATTTCCAGTTCTTTTTTTCCGAGAAGTCCTGCGCTGTGATGAGTTCCAGGTGAATTTTGTCAAAAAGGCGATGGAAATTTCAAGTAAGAAAAGCTGCTTCTCAAAATGCAGTTCCTGATGTTTGGTGAGCCTCAGGAGGAAAACCAATAGTGAAGGGAAAAAATGTGTGACTCCAAGCAGGAGCAATGCTACTAATCCTACGGCACCCAAAGGCCCCTTAGGCCCCCAGGCGGAGAATCCCATAGTGACATCAATAGCCAAGCTAAAAACAACACACCACAGGCTTTCCGCAATGTAATGCACACAATAGCTGGCGTGACAAAGAACAAGCACCTCTGGGCTGACGGAATAAAGTCAGCTGTGTGCAAGAGTGAATTGCAGTTGAATGCTTTAATGCACTTCATCCATACCACAAGGTACAGTGTATCCAGCTAATCCAGGCTGGCCTGAGTCTAAAGCAAGTTGAGGTAAATGTGACCAAAGTCAGTATCTAAGGGTCAGTGGGTACAAGCCTCCTTCACACAAAAACATATTCTTTTCTGCATCTACTAAGTTACATGAGCATCTGTACAATAGGTAATTATTTTTATATATTTTTTATAATAAACGTTAATGGGTTTGTTGCTGTTACAAAGCTGGCAAGCATTCTTATGACTCTTGTATGTAGAGATACCAGTCCCTCTATATCACTGTAACATGTGAGGCAGTAAAAATGCTAACTATAAGCTGAATAAATAAATGAGACTTGAATAAATGAATTTTATAGTTTCACTGCGAATGATGTAATATTCTTCATAGCACTATAATAGATGTGAACGCCGGCCCAAGCTGTCTACTTATTAGACACCAACAAATTGACTCCAGATTGGTTCAAGACAGTGATGTGGAAGTAAGGCCACATAAACCCAGACTGCATCATGGAACAGCTTTACTCCAAGGCCATCATCCAGCATGGAATCTCCTCCTGCCATCCCCTATGGCAGTCTTAATCCTCCTGCGCTACGGAGTAACATTCAAGATGAATGATACTAATGATGGCATGTCCTGTCTGTCTGTCACGGAAATGTTTGTATAACCATGATTTTTGTTTTTAACCATGACCTTTTTCATTCACACCACAAACTTAACACTTTTATTGCCTCAAAAACGATCCGTGTCTTGTGCCTTACGTAACTTGCGAAACACTCATAGATGCCTTATGTAAGACTATTACATCTGCCAAATAGTAGCCCCTTCAAGGGTAAAATGGAAGATGAGGCTCACACCAGTAATCGATTCCAAGTCAAGCAAATTCTTCGCTTTGTGGGTTAGATCTCAACGTCATCCAATCTGCGTATGGACTGAGGAGATGTCTCTGCCTCTATCAAAGATTGGAGGTTAAGGCCAGGTTTAGTCAGACTATGAATGAGAAAAGACGTGAAAAAGATTTGACAATGCTCAGCAACATAAAAACTTAAAGCCTTTCAAAAAAAATGCATTTGTATTAAAGAATACTATCATTATCAGGATAAGTGCAATGTTTATGGTTAAGGGTGAAAAATCTTTTTTAGTAAAGAGTTCTGTCCCTTTAGGCCAAGCAATGATTGAATTCAATTCACTTTTATTTATATAGTGCCAAATCACCACAACAGTCATCTCAAGGTGCTTTATATTGTAAGCTAAAGACCCTGCAATGCAAGAGAGAAAACCTCAACATCAAACAACCACCTGTGAGCAAAAACTTTGCGACTGTGGAAAGAAGAAAACTCCGTCAGAACCAAGTTCAAGCAGGGGGAACCATATGCTGCGACAGGCTGGGGGTGATGGGAGGAAGATGGGACAAAAGACAGTGTGGAAGAGAGCCAGAAATGAACTAAAGATTAAATGCAGAGAGGTGTGTAAGCACACAGAGAGCAGCCTAGGCCTATTGCACTAAGGGAGAATTTAGGGTCACCTGATCCAGCCCTAACTATATGCTTTATTAAAAAAGAAAGTTTTAAGTCTAATCTTAAAAGTAGAGATGGTGTCTGCTTTGCAAATCCAAATTAGGAGCTGTTTCCACAGAAGAGGAGCCTGAAAGTAAGCCTGCTCTATTGGGGTGATACAGTTCTATGAGGTCTTTAAGATAAGCTGGGGTCTGATTATTCAACACCCCGTATGTGAGGAGAAGGAACTGAAATTTGATTCTAAGAAAAGCCAGGATGGAAGAAAAATGCTGTCTCTTTCTAATCTCTGTCAGTATACTTGCTGCAGAAGTTTGGATCAACTGAAGGCTTTTCTCGGGGGGTTTTAAGGACACCCTGATAACAATGAAGTAATAAATGCATCAACTATTTTTCAGCATCACTCTAAGACAGGATGTTTCTAATTTTAGATAACATTGTGTGAATGTAGTCGTACATATTTATTTAACATACACACTGAAGGACAAAAATGGTAAAAAATGACTCCAGAATTCCTCACAGCATTACTGGGGGCCAAGGTAATGCCATCAAGAATAAGTATCTGGTTCAACCCAGTAACATGACAAAACGTGTAATTAACATGCCAGTCCACCGTGTCCATTTCACGCTTTGGCTAGGCAAAGCGTGAAATGGACAGGCATGCAGAAGTTGCATTACCAGCAGGGGGAGAAGCTCCCCCGTGATTATTTTCATGTTTGCTTGGAATAAAATATCTCCCTCGGCTGTCACTGCACGTGACTGCAACTTACTGCAACGTCGGCATGCATTCATGTGTGAAATGGAGATGGTGGACTATCTGTTACACACTTTGCCGTGATATCATGCTCAATTATCTAAGGTGAGGACATCCCAAAAAGAACGCTAGTTTGAGCGGGGAGTCAAGGAGGCCATTTATGTGACCAATGGTCATGACAATTTGCAGTCAGCCCATTATTAGTCAGTTGTGCTAGAGTCAATGATTATGCAAATGTAGTGTTTATAAGGTTGGGGAAACCTCAACTGACACTGTGGAAGTCACTTGGATGAGTGACGAAATATTTCTCCAACTGGAAAAGCTACGTCCACATGAGCAGAATGAACCTTTTTTTGGATTGGGTTGTCAGGTTAGACATTTTTAAACACTTAAACTTACACAACACTTACACCTAAAGCTGTTTCTCTTAAATTATCTTACATTATCTGCTAAAATGAGAAGCAATTGGAAATAAATTGTTCAAGCACTTGATTTAGAGCCTGGAGCGTTTCCCAGGTGTCACAGGGCGAGAGTTGGGGTACACCCTAGACGACGTACCAGTACACCACAAGGAGACAAACATTGGAGGAAGCTGGAGTTCCTGGACAGGGTCCATGCATTCACAGGGACAACATACAAACTCCACACTTAAAGACTCTAGTGGGTATCAAAAAGTCCTTTGATACTGTAAGTCGCTTATATACACTGTGATGACTGACATTACAACGTAACCAATTATATATTATAAAGCTGGGTTCACATCTACTTCTTTAAATTGAATTTTCAAATATACCGCATACCCAAATGGAAATATTTTAACAGAATTCCAAATACAGATTTGATTTAAAAAGCAACATCTTCCAGTTTTTGAAACAATTCTGGTTTAGCATGTGGACAAAATATCACTTTACCGCTAAGTGGTTCACTGGTGAGCTGGTGGGTATTAAGTGATTAACAAGATGACATATAATAGTATTAGACAAAGATACAATCGAATGGAATTACTATTACACAAGACAAATACATGCATATACATAACAAGGGTAGTTTTTTTCACATGAACGGTCGAATCACCTCACCTTGTTCTGTGTGATGCAGTGGATGGCTCTGCTGTGGGCATCAGGCACCTCTGAGGCAACTGTACCTTTGTTCATGTCAAATACTTGAATAGACCGATCTGACCCACACACCAAAACAATGTCTGAAACAGCTTGTTAAGTAATGTTTTAACGTTTATCTCAGAGGACCAGCACCTCAAACAAAAATAACATATATTTAATCAACTATTTTCTATCATTTAAAACCTTGGTAGCTTTTTAGGGGCATGTGATGTATTCAGTCAAAAACTGAATACAATGGTTTGCCTTCCTGTAGACATCTTAATTCATTCCATGCTGTTTTATTTAAGTAGACAGAAATGAAAAGAAGGCCTTGTAGGCCTTCTTATGGTGTACATGGACACTCCTACTAAAGAACAGTGTTAAAATCTCATGAGATATTTTAACAGTTTTAAAAATCCAAAATATTTCATACACACTTTGACCTATGAAGGCTGCCATTATTTTATATGACCAATCAATTTTATGATGTAAACTTGTTGCATCCCACAGCTATCATTACAAATTCGCTATTTCTGACAGACTGGACAGTTTCCAGAAGAACTTAACATTACTCTGTCTATGCAACTGATCCATTTCACTAAGAAAAATAGCTCACAAATGCTGTTGGTTATACGTGACAATTTTCACTTATGAGTCTAAATGCTCTCAGATAGCAAATGAAACTTCAGTTTTTTGTTTTCTTACCCTTCCCAATTCAAGTGCATAATCCTTGCTAAAGTGGCCACTTCAGGACAAATAGCACTGGCTACCATTCATCTGCAATGAGTGTTGGCTGTCAGTTCACTGTTTACCTCAGCTGTCAATATGTGTCCATGTCTATTTACTATGTGAAAATAGTAAATAGTAAATAAAGTGGAGCAGAACTGCTCCTGAGAGGACCTCTTATTAGTGGATTTATTGGAAAATAAATGCATTGTAAACCCTCAAATTCCTCACATTCCTAAATAAACTACAGAAAACCTCATTCATTTACAGGTAGAATCCACAATGGAAGTCCTGGGGCAACATCTAAAGACACCATAGACAAACTGCTGTGGATGACATGGGAAATGTCTGTATATGTGCAGTCTGAACTGAAACACCTCTGCTGTACGGACAGTAACAACAGGAGGAAGGATACGGGAAAAAAAATCATTGATCGCAGACAAGGCAGTGATGTCTGTTGTTGATGTTGTCGTAAAGCATCCAGCCAATTTGCTGACACTCCGTTGATGATATCTAAGGAGAAAAAAACAGCTTGAATTTGTCTCACTTTCTTCACAATACATCCATGTATACAGCTTCATGACAAAAAAGATTATATAGGAATTCAGCTGAAGACCAATGAAGAAAATACATACATAAACCAATAGTTTACGTAGCATTTATAAGGTTCACATGGTAAACTGTTGTGTATCTATTTACATGTATAGATCACTTGCAGTTACCTTTTTATGTCATCGCGCGTGATGTCCAGGTTATACAGGTACAGGTACAGAGAGGGCCCGGATGCCAGAAGTACAAATTTGTCGAGATAATAAAATTGAGCACCTCTAATGGGTTTGGAGAACATTTTGTCACCCTAGCAGAGACAAAAATCAGCCTTAATAGTATGTTTTTTTAAATTATTGAAACATTTGCAAGACTTCAGTTTTACTTCAGGTTTTACTTCAGTCTTACTTATACCAGTATACCAGACCACATCTCATCAACACAGACTTACAATTTGGAGTGGTTAACAAACATTTTTTCACAACTGCAACTCTCAGAAGCCGTTTGTGATCCTGGCTCACCCAGACATAGCCCTTGTCCCTGAAACGACTTGTATTCATTGCCAAGTTGTTTCACAAAAATACCAAGCAGTCAAAGGCTGTAGACCCAGCCAAACTGTCTAACTGAGTGAAACAAAGCAGGGATGATAAGCATCAGATATGGGGAGACCTTGGAGCTTAAGGACAGACCCTTGTTTTTACTTGGCATGACAGAGCAACTGAGTGTCCCATTAAATATGATACCCAGTGAGGTAAGAAGGGTCTGCATACGATCAGAGTTTTGGATGCTCCAACTTCAGTTGAGGCTTTGATAGCAAAAGTGCTATCACTGCGCCAAGAAACACATTATTTCATAATTGCATTAATTTGGCTTTCTGCGTTGGCCTCCTTGTTTTTAAATTCCATTAGTTTTCTAATTAGCAGTGGAAACAGTGAATTGAGCAAGTTCTGTACAAACATGTCCAAGATACAATCTGATCATTACACAGAAATTGTCCTATTATAAAGGTGTGCTATGACTGAATTTTATGAACCACAGATGGAAATGGAAAAAGTTTGAACATTTTACCTAACCATTAACACATCGGAATGACATAAGGAGATCTGTAGGGGACTAAAATCCTTCCAACAATCACACTGATCTTTGAAAACACAAGACAAATGTGTGGAGCTATCTATTAGTTATGTAGTCATTTTATTGAACTTCTACATCAATTTAAATTTTTTTAGACCTTCGGAGAGAGGACATTTTTACAATATGAGGTCACTCTGGCTGGTCTTTATTACACTGGTTTTTATGGTTAGAACTTGGACTTCCAAGGAATGAGGGAAATTTCATAAAGGCTTAAAGTAGGCCATGTAGTTGTGATGGGAGATTAAGGTGACAGGGAGTGAAAGTAAGAAAAAAAATAAATAAGACACCGGTATAAGTGTATGCGCATTCACTGGGGATTTACCATGATAATGGCAGGCTCTGAGTTACAGTGAGTCCAGATTTGGAGTGACAGGTCTTCTGACGCACTCAGCCACCACCGTCTGCTAAGGCTCCAGCTCAAACTGCTTATTGGCTTGTCATGCCCTGGATAAAAGAAGGCACGACTTTAGTAACCTGGTAATACAGAGTGTGGCTACAACATCGACTTTTATGGTACTGCTAAGAGAGCCAGGCAGACAGAAGAGAATATGCTTGTGGTGACCTACGTGTCACCTCAGCTTCTCTCCTTTTATCTCTGCTGCCCCCTTGTGGAGACCTGTGATCCAGCTGCACTTCAGCCATCGAGTGATGCCTGACTTGTCTGTCAGTGTTAATTTTACTGCCCGGGACCACTCGTCTCAGAAATGCTTTAATCTTTCACACTGTATATAATAGCGACATATGCTTAGTTTAAACCTAAAAGGTCTCAGAAGAGAATGTGAGCCTTTCAACAATTATTGCTCTGGAACATAAGCAAACCACAGTATTCTGGTAACAGAGAGCTCAGTGTTTAGTTTTTGACAGTGATAGCTTAGTGAGTTAACTAGAATTTTCTTTAACACTCTCATGTCAAGCCATGCATCCATTTCAGAGTAGGTCCAGGTTATTCAGAAGAGCCCAAATGAGTTATCCAAGCCAAGAGCAGACTTATGATTATTAACATCCTTCTTATCTCTGTGAGGTGCCAACTCTTAAACCTTAGCATCATTTGAATCAGTTAAGAAGTTGTATGTCGAACATAAAAAAAACCTCTTTTGATGAGAAACACAAAAATATCAAACAAAAGTACGGGTACTCATCTCTGCATCGCACACCTATGTAGACAGCTGGAGCGCCAGTAAGGCAGGACTTGTACAGTAACAGTGTGCTGTCTCCAAGACCACACAGGATTTGTTTTCCATCACCTTGGGAGGGACAAGGAAACACGGGATTGTTTTATTAGGATTTTTCAGTCCACAGCTGATTTATTACAGCCAAAAATAGTAAAGCAGCCTTTAAGACACAACTGTGAAATGTTGTGTTTGAAAGAGGAACATTCATCTTGAGAAAACAGCAACAGTGAAACTGTTTCTAATATACTGCCAGCTATTTTTCATAAATTATTGTTACCTTACTTCACCCTTACAGCACAGGATGGACAACACTCCATGCAGTCGACAGTTATTAGATCTACTAACGGTTCGACATTGGCAGGTGTTTCTAATACAATCCCAAATCTGACTTATAACCTCAACCTTTAGCATTTCAACTGTTTAAATAATAGTTAAAAACACATAATAATAATAGACAAAAAGACAAAATTACTCATATTAACCTACCTGAATACTGAAGGCATGAGACATGCTTCTTCACGCTCACATCAGCACACGGGATAGCCGGTGCCACACCGTCTGCTGGGTAATCTTTAAGGAGGGAACCTCTAAATGGCAAAAGTATGTTCACTATTCATGTTTTATTAACACTGTCTTTTAAATGAAATTAGCTTAGGTCGCTTACGTATTTCCATCAGCCTTTTTCCTAGAGGAAGACTTTTTTTGAACATTTGTTTTGGGTGAAAACATGATCCTCCTGAAAAGAGGATAAACTAAATTAAAAAAACATATACACACAACCAAATAAAATATATATACATATAGCAACTATATTTTACCTAACAAAAAGGAAATATGAGATTAAAAAATAATTAAGCAAATAAGTGCTTTAAACTTTGGACAGACCAATAAACTGTAATCTGATTATCTATCTGGCAAAAAGTTATTCTGTGATCATACCTCGGGGCACTAGTATATCCAGATGACTTCACTTTACAATGGAAAACCAGAGGCTGGTCCTTTACACCTCCTTCATTAAAAGATAAGATGCTGATTAGGACACCAGCGAAGAAGTGTGTATTATAACGAGTATATATGTCTGCATTTCTAAAACACGAATCAATAGATGGTGCAGTGGCAGGATGAGGTAAGATTCTTTAATATTGCTAAAATGACAATAGTATCGTGAAGCAGTTTCATATTTTAAAAGGAGGATTCAAGATTTCTGGGTGACCACTCCATGCTGTAAGCATTAAGTGTATCCATAAAGCCATGAAGGGTGATGGTTCACTATGAGCTCACTTTTTCCACAGCCATTAAAATTTGTGAGCACTTCCAAAAACTGTTCTTCTGTCAAACAAAGGGGAAGTAAGAAAAGGTCATATAGTCTCCAGGGCCAGGCGTATATATACGTACACACTCTCTGGTCACATTAGGTACACCTTGCTGATACTGGACCTAACCCTCTTTTGCCTTCAGAACTGCTTTAATTTGTGACTATATAGATTCAACAAGGTTATGGAAAACTTCTTTAGAGATTTTGGTTCATGCTGACATGACAGTATCACACAGTTGCTGCAGATTTTTGCACTGCACATCCATGAAGCAAATCTCCCATCCCACCACATCCCAAAGGTGTCAGGGTTCCTGGGTCGGTGACCCAGTGCTTTCCGTTTTGTTCACGTTCAGTTTATTTCGTCACTTCCTGTTTGTTCCTGTGTTAGCTCGTCTCGTGCCGTTAGCCAGATTATGTTCAGCTGTGTACTCACCGGTCTCTCATTATCATCCTCATCAGTCTGTGTATTTAAGTCTTCTGTTTCTATTCGTTCTTTGTCGTGTCATTGATGATGTTCGTGTGATGTTGTCCTCCCCGTGTTCTCTCAGTCAGTCAGCCATTCAGTGTTCCAGCCAGTCAGTGTCCGTTCACCCTCTGTTCCTCCACTCCTTATAATAAACATCCACCAGTCTTCACCTACCTGTGAGTCCTGCGTTTGGGTTCCTTCTTCCTCGCCTCCACACAACGCCTGACAAAAGGTGCTCTATTCGATTGAGATCTGGTGGCTGTGGAGTTGTTTTGAGTACAGTGAACTCGCTTATATGTTCCAAGCTTATCCTGCTGGAAACATCCATCTAATGTGCAAACTGTAGCATTTAAATGATGCTCAGTTGGTACAAAGGTGCCCAAAGTGTGCCAGTGATGAGAGGATGGAAACTTCTGACCACAACTGTATGTTTAAACATGTTTAAGTATACAAAACCTGAATTGCATAATTCACCTGGTATCACAACAGTTATGTAGTATTTAAATGTTAGGTAAAGCATTAGTCCTTTTAAGTTCTGTGAGACTGGTGGCTTACATGCAAAACCACCTTCCACTCCTCCAATGTGTTGTGAGACGGCATACTAAGTAGCTTTTGCTGCTCCAGAACAGATTACATGTTGAAAAGTAAGCTTTTTAGCAAAGTAAGCTTTTTAGAAAAGTAAGCTTTTTGCGTCTCCAATTAAATGGAGACGCAATCGCTTGGCGTTGCTTAATGGCCCTATTGATCTCCTGCTGATGTATAATGGTGCTTTAGTTTTACGGGGCAGTAAAAATCCCATAATTTACACTGACTTTACAGTAGACAGTTATTTGAAGCAAAGTGAGAGTTTCAGACAAATTTCCAAGGAAAGTCATATGTGCGTAAAATCACAGCAGTTTGCTGTGCGCTTGTTTTACGGCATTCATTATGAATTAGCCTAATGACAAAAATTATTCAAAGATGTTTCTTAATATTCAGATCCTTTAGTCTGGTTCAGCACATCAGGATGTTCATTGTGTAATGGAACAGCTACAACACCCCAAAACTTTCTGCTCACAAAGTGAGACAGCTGTATGCTCTCCTCAGGTGTTTACCTGTTTACCTCCTGAGTTACTAAATAGGACATTATTCAAATATTCAAACACTGAGGTCAGCATATGTGTATGTAAGGAATCCCTATGATCCAGATTTCAGGCTGTAAACACTCAGAATCTAATAGTTGTTCCACGCTTGTCTCTGTTTATCCCTAATATGGTCATCTGTGGCACAGATCTCTGGATCTGAGCACAGAAGCCCACCCACCCACCAACCTGTTGTTAATGGGAAGCCAAATACAAACAAAATTACTTAAAGGGAGCCAAAATGGCTTGCTACAGATAAACGCTATTCTAGCTGAGCTTAAAAAAAGCACATAGAAGAGCCCCTTTGAAATGTCCGATACTCTTTTGTTTGTTTATTTGTTTTATAAGAATTAGCCAACCAAGTCATGTTCTCAATCAGTCAACTCAGACCTCATTTTACATTAGCTGTGTCACAGCTGTACTGACCTGTGATGAGAAGAGCAGACAGTAGCAGACAGCAATGTGAGTAGAACTAAAAGTATCAGAGGCACCTTAGTAAGCTGTCACAGAACTACATTACAAACATGAAGCTAAAGTAAGGCCACAGTGTGTGGTCTGTATCAAGGTAACTGTTCTGTTTTATTTAGACCTTGTAAAACTACATGCCCACATATTTAGGTATAGACCAAGGTGACGTTGAGAACCTCAGTTTCTCTATCTCTCTTTGATCTGGTTTCACAGAATTTTTTTTTCTCTGCCATCCAAGATTTTACATCTTCAAAACAGTGGAGGCAATTAATATTGCTTGGATCACAATATTTTATGGGAAAATACAACTCATACAGTGGGTCCAATCATTTTCAGTTCATTATTTGCACTATTTTCTGTTCATTCTGTGAGAGAAGATCCTGTAGATCACTGCAGTTTAGTGGGAATTTTAGGGCCCAACGGCTTCTAGTGCTTCAAGGAGGGAACTCTATTGTGCTCCACGTCATCTGCCTTTCTTTGTTTCTTTATTTCATTTTATTCTTAATAAATTGTGACACCTCAGGTCAAACAGTAAAGCTGTCTATTCTCCCTGACAGAGAAATCTAAATGAATCAGATTCACATCTGCAGTATTTTCATGCTGACTGATACTGATCTGATCACTCTATGGAAAATGTGTTTTGTGCATTGCTCGCAATTTATTCAGTCCTTCTGTTTTACTAGTTCCCTGAAATCCTTTCTATAAAATGACTTAATTCAAGCAACAGCACTCAGGGGTTATAGTACACATCATGCAAAAAGTAACAGCAGCTGATTATAATCATCTCAAAAAGCCAGGAGTCTTCAGTGCATGTGTAAGAGACCTTCAGTTGTCTTGCACACATGCAATAGAAGAACAATTCTATTTCCAAGGATCTTGGAGGTTTATTGCATAATTTGTATACAATTGTGTAGATAACTTTACGAATACAGAGGTGCATGGAGAGCAGCATGCTGGGTTAGTGTGTAAACGTTTGTGGTTTTTGGTCTGACAGTGCAGCCGCACGGCACCTCTAGACTCTTCAGTACACCCCCTGCACAGTCTGGCACTGTCAAATTCCTCAACTCCAGCTGTGAGGAGACAGCTAATACTGCCTCTCAGCACTACCTCTCTGTATGATGTATGTATGTAAATGTCAGTATTTAGTAGGTCGCTCCAGGAGAACAGTTCTAAGTCGCCAGATCCCAATCATAAACTTTATCTGTGATCCTAATGGTCCACCAGAGAAACACAAACAGGCTCACTTTACCTATGAATCCACAACAGGAAGAAGCAGCCAGTCAAAAAAATGGGTTAATGTAAAAGAAACCATCAGTCTGCATGTGCTGCTCTAACTGAAGTACCTGTTTATGAAAACAGACAGTCGTATAAAACCCCAACAAATTGAGGGAAAGGAATCTTTAAATTGTGAATGTTTGCAGATAATGAAGATGTTCTCAGTAACTCCTGAAATTGCCAAGCAGACTTTTATTAACCCAACAGTAAAATTTAAGAGGAACAAATCCCCCGAGATTGCATCAGGAAAGACCTGTTAAATAAAATCAAATAAAAAATTGACAAATCAAATATGCTGTGCTACCTGCTGTGGCAACCCCTTGTGAATAAGGGAGCTGTTGAAAGTGGCTTTTATATGTGGTCAAGCAAAAAAAAAAAAAAACAGATAATGAGCCAGTTGTGAAATAAACTACAAAAAGGGTCATATTTTTAAAGCTCAAAGTCATCGGATAGTAGTAGGTTTCTTTTTATTCTGTGTGTATGAGTATAAGTGAGAGGTGAGTGTTCGGGGATGCTGACCTTTCTTTTTAGGATGGCTGGGCTCCTTCCTCTTGAGCTCAGTATTGAGGGGAGAATTGGGCAGCGGAGGAGAACTGAAAACAAGAGAGGGGTGAAATGGAGGGGAGGGCTGGGGGAGTTACTGGAAATGAACGAGCACAGCATTTTCCACTCTTATGGATTATTAGCCCCTCTGATTTCCAATGCCATGATATTGTTGACTCATGAAAAACCAGATGGCATGAATTTTTGTAATAGAGGAAGTTAATATGGAAATGTCAGAGTCAGAGGGCATTAGAGGCAGGAGGCCAACTTTAAAAAACAGCCCACAATCATATATAATACTGCCGGTGAGCTCAAATGACCAGACTAACAAAACTGTATAAAGGCATTGTTTTTGCAAGTTGTAACTGTCCCAAATGATTATGCTTTGGCTCACAAATAGCAAATTTGTTAAAGCAGACAAAAAGCACATTACGTTGATGAAATTAGTCCTTATTGGTGCTGCTGGACTTTGCTAGGTAATCATTTATGGAGTTATGGGTAATGGCTGAATGAATGTTCCTTCTTTCTCAGAGGACAATTTAAAACCTTTGGCATTTAAAAAGTAATCTTATTGTGACTGTTAGCTTATGTATGCAAATTTAAAAGTTTAGAATCGTATAAAGTGCAATCACTCACTAGCCAGAGCAGTTTTGTGCTTATTTCAAATAGTTAAAAAACACTTATTTTGTCTGTCATCTGTAGACTTTTTCATCTTTTTTTAATTTTATTTTTCACAAAACAAGTAGCTGAAATGCTTACTATTATACTACCCATAAAAATAAAAAGCAAAACACAGTTTTAGACCTCAAGTAGCTACACTACAAGGCCACAGTGTCCCTCATCAAGTTCTATTAAACTTGAATTTTGGTTTTGATCAGTAAGATGAAGTGAGTAGGAAAAAAAGGTTTTGTCACTGTAGATCATCAAAATATTGTATCGCTACCTAATATTTTTCAGTTAACTCCAGCTTTACCTTGGGAACACTGAAAATCCTTTGCCACAAGCCAAGGGCCTTCCTAGATCATATAGACGCACCTCCAACACGACCACACATGGGGTAAACAAAGAGCTCACTAACATCAGCATCTGTGTGGGAAATAAATTCAATCAATTAAAATTTTAATAAAAGAAAAAACACTATTCTTGTAGTAATAATATATGTGTTTTAAGTTGTTACACTGAGAGAACATTAAATACATATTGTTTTACATAAAAGTTAGCCATAGGTGAACCATAAACTCTGTCATTTAGTAGAAGTTTTAAGAAAAGAACAAAGCAAAGCTGTTTAGGGATCGGTTTTAATGCTGCAGCAATTTTCAAAAATATTGTATGTTTACATACCAGATATAGTACCAGACATGGGGAGAGGTGGTGGGTGCATTTACACTCCAACAATCATAAAAGTTAATTTGCTAATATTCTCCTGCTGAGAATACGTGTAACTGTTTACATTTATTTCCTACAGAGTTTATTATATTTGGCAATTATCCAAAAGCCTATGGAAAACTACTTTTTTCTATGATGTTGTTCTGGCCTGTCTACAAATAGACTGCTGCACTTAATTTCAATTTCTACTTAGAACCTTCAAAAGTTCAGTGACTGCATGTTACATGGTTGTGACACCAATGAAATCAGTTTTCAAATTTGCATTCAAACACACATTAAAAGCATTATATCGCACTATCCTAACTAGTAAATCCTATCTCTTTATACTAAAAACAATACCAGCAACACTGTATTAATGATAGAAGTCAAGCTGAAAAGGCAATTTTAATGGAAATACTCACAGAGTTATCACACCCTGGAGAGATGGTCCATGAGCCAGCCATGGTGATGCTCAGCTTAGGGTAATCTACAAGAAAGAAAATCATATTCATCATCATGTGGTATCACATTCAAAAAAGAAATGACAGCAACTATTAAATTTATCTTTTAATGTCTCACCAGTGGAATCTCTCAGGGGAAACCACATGTTTTATTGGAGGCATACCTGAGTTTCTTAAAGAAAGGCAGAAAGATGGGAGAAGGCATATCCCCAGCAGCCTACCTTTGAAATATAGTGCTGCTACCAGTTCAGACGTAGCCACATCGACCACATACAGACCATCAGAGCTTCCAATACAAAACCAGCTGTTGTCACTGCAGGGCCCCCAAACAGAAACATATGGAAAAACCATGTTAAGGGATTTTCTCACAAAAAGAATTTTTCATTTGGGGTCAGACAAATGACACAAAAGATCAACATACTGATGTGATGAAGTGGCAAGACATGTACACCATAAAAGTATAGGCCTTGATTCAAGTTGCCTTTGACTTCATGTAGTCTAAACTATATACATTCAGCACACTGGAAACTAATACCACAGAGAAGAAAGGAGCTCTGCTCTTTTATCCACTTCCTGCTCTGGGCTGCATGCTGAGGTTTTGAGTTTGCGGGCAATTTATGTTTGGAAGGTTTTACATTTTTGTGCATCATTATTTTCATACTACTATGTGGAATCTTACTTGAGCAGAGCCCGTGAGATACTTTAGTTTGGCACATCAAGCTGCACTGTGAGAAACATACATAACATGCTTTAGTTCCCTAGTGTCCCAATTTATTTATATATTTAAGCTTTCCTTTTCACTCTGACACGTCAGCATCACTGCTCCTTCAACCCCTCCACCAACACAACATCCACAAGTCTCCAGAGCAAGATTTATTTATCAGTATCCAAATTTATAGAAACATACTCGCAGGGAATGATGAGCTGGAAGTCCAGATGCCAAACTCTGTTGTGCCAAACTGTACTGCTGTAATAAATCAATTATTTCAAATGTGTGCTGTCTGAATAGTGTCTAAACACTGATGCTAAGAGTGACTAGAAATGATTACTTTGTCTTATACAATGAATATGTGGCTTGCAAAGAAACTTCAACAACTTCAAATGATCACACACTGACTCTGCTTCCACTTGTTCTATAATTCACTCTAACAGTAAAGTGTGAAGTCAGTAAGTCGCTGAGCTCTGCACTGAGATCACAAGCTTTCCTTACAGCAGTTAGGAATCATACAAATCTAGTCATGTCTGCGTGTTTTTCAAGTGCCTGCCTCCTGTCACAGCAACAATATGTTTCAACGGTCTGAAACTTTATGCTTCGAGACAGCAGTTTCCCGCGATGTATGAAGTTTCCTTCAGGTTTCCTGTGAGTGTGTGAACACGTGCAGCAATTAGTCCATACGGATGTGGCATGTCATAAGGACTTTTTTTCCAGGAGCTTGTGACACTGTGTTAATGGCAAAAATATGCAGCTTTTTTTTTTTTTAAATTTGACATATGTGTTTTAAGTCATTTTGCTAATATTTTCCTGGATGACATACCATTTGCACTTTGTGGAATAATGAACAAAATAGAGCCCTTGAGAATATATATAGCTGACAGTCGTGCTTTATTAAGATTCCCTGTCAAAAATGAAGAGAACCAGATCTTCCTTGTGCTAAAATCAAACAATATGATCCACTGAGAGGGAGGAAACGTGTAAATGAAAGGCTTAGATCTTGTTTTTTCTTGTGACTAATGATTGAAAACTAATTGTAAACTACATCTACAACTCTGTGAACTAATCCATTCATCCACACTGTTTAGTTCATGTAGTTTTACCAGTTTAAAGGAAGTTATAATAAGGGTCAAGGCACCTATTCCAGCTAAGCTGTACTTACTTTTCTTGGTCACCATTGATGTCTGATAGAGGCCTACATAAAGCCATTTTGAGAACAGGTTTTGAAGTCTCCACTTTATCAGCAGACGATTTTAAAGCACACCCTGGAAGAAAACATCCAAAAGTAGCATAAAAGTAACTGAGTGAACTTTTCCAACTAGTTTAAAGAACTATCTGTTTCATGTCGCGTCACCTGCTTGATGGCTCCCAGTCTCTCGGTGCATTTGATGTCTTTTTTCCATCTTCTCAAGGTCCATTTTGGTCACAAGGTGACACTTGTGGTCGTCACTGAGAGAAAAGCACCACACCTAAAACAGACAGTTGTCTTTCAGCTTGTGGAATTTCAGTGTCTGAGCCTTTTGAGCTGCCGCGTACCTCAGTCACTAACCTGTCCATCAGTTGAACCGGTGATAAGATGCCTGTCCTCTTCCAAGAAGTATGCAGTGAGCAGTGGAGAAGCTAAAGGATTAAGGAAGTTCAATATTTTCAAACCTTCAAATTTTAGAAAATTGAAACCTATGGTTGAATAATCATAACTAATTTACTTTATGCTAATGGAGTGGCTTCTATCACAGGAACCCTGGGTACAGAAGGGAGAAAACCCCAGAAAGAGATACCAATCCTTAACCAACAGTCTAATCTGACATCCCAGTTTTTATAGTCCTATTTTAAAATAGAGTTATCATTTCTACTGTACAAAGTGAATAAGAGTATTGCAGGCTAAAGGGGCCAAGCTCAAAAGAATGAGTGTTTACTGCTTCACCAACATGATTTAAAATATTTACGTCATACCTGAAAGCACAAACGACTGGAAGAAAACAGCTTCAGTTTTTAAATCCCACACCTGACGAGACAAAAGTAAAAAGCTAAAAGTCCAAGTAAGGTGTGCACAATTTGTTTTTCTAAACCATTACACATCACTGTGGCTAAATAAAAAGTGTAAAATTTAAAGTAATACCCTAAAGGTGCGGTCTTCTGATGTGGTGACGAGGATATCGTTATTCCAGGGGCAGAACTCTGCTGATGTTACAGGTCCCAGGTGGCCCGTCAAGGTATGGATCGTTTCTGGTCTCTGATGTGGAAAAAACAACCGTAAAACTTGAGTAAGAACAAGTGGTGATTACTGTCTTGTAGTAAATATTTTTTAAAAAGTCAATGAGGTGACTGTAGCTCAGCAGGCAGAGCAGGTCATCTACTAATCTTAAAATCAGGTTTAATCCCTGGCTGCTCCAGCCTGCATACAAAATATCCTTGCACAAGATCTTAACCTCAAGTTGCTCTCTGCATCCATCAGAGTGTAAATGTGTATGAATGTTAGACAGAGCATAGAAAAAAGTGGTTGTATGAATGTGAATGTGAATTGGTGAATGAGGCACATATTTTTAAAAGCGCTGTGAGTGATCAGGTAGAGTAGAAAGTATAAAAAACAGTCCATTTACAACACTTTAGCTTAAATACATTGACCAAGTGGAAGATGTGCAGCATGATCATCTGGTACCTTTGAGCTGAGAATACATGCAGTTGCTCCCGTGCATGCAGCCACTCGTGCATCAGAGAAACAAAATGAAAGATGAACAACCTCCCCAAGCAAAGTCCCGATAACTGTTCCAGCTGCAACTTTACCTGCAAACCAAAATGTTTGTCTGCTTACATTTAAACTTAACTCGGGAAAATTATCATTTTCACTACATCACGTAATATGAAGCGTGTGTTAAAGTGGCTCTGCAACATTGCAAAACAGAGCTCTATAATGGGGAAAAATGTGTGTGATTTGGGATGGAGAAACGCTTTACTGCAGAGCACTTCTCACAGCATGCAACAATTCAGGGTCAAACACACAGAACTATGTATCTTTACCCTCCTGTGTTCTCTTCTGGCACAATTCAATATCCCAGACAATGACGTAATCAGCAGAGGCAGAGCAGAGGATAACAGGACTGCTTCTTTTTCCAAAAGTAAGGGCACTGATGTCACCATGGTGACCAGTTAGTACGAGGGGCTATGAAAAAAAAATACTTTAGTAAAGCATAAAGAATGGTCAATGGTCAATAAGGTCAATGACATAGCAGCTCATGTATCTCACAATCCATTACAATTCACAGCTAATCGCCTAAAGTGACAAACATGACCTTGATCTCTAGCACAATTTTAAACAAAGATCTATTTAGTAGGTTCCCTACTGTCTGACAAAAAACACCAGGCCATTTGTGACTGTGCATAAACGTTTCACCGGTTTTGCCATTTTTAAATGCACTATGCTGGAATCCACATAATCTGGCCCAGGGCTAGTAAATGTGTAAGACAGAGAGGTTAAACAGCCACCTGCTGGCCTTTTGGGGTTAGTGACACTGTTTCTTCCAGATTAGTTCACCTTGAAACAAACTGGCTGGCAAAATGACAATAAAGTCCTTCGTGTAAGAGGAAAAGCAATCTGTCCACGCGTGGCTTGTTTCGCGGTCATGGCACGAGTGAATTAAGAAACGAAAAAGAAAGTTGTCTGAATGCAGATGAACTGTTTGTTTAGTTTGCCATGATATGCTAAATCTAACGTGCAAATCTGGTAGATTTATTGTAAGCTTCGCTGCAGCATTTCGGTAGGAATCCATCTCTTCGGGTCAAACATTCAAACAAATACTTTTTAATGACATTTTTGTATATATATGATTTTTTTTAGATGTATTAAATTGTTCTGACGCTCTGTAGCCAGAGTGCGGACCATGGTGCAGACACTAACAAATTACTTAAAAACTAACAAACCTTCTGCTGTCCGTCCTTTGTGCTGTAAACGAGCACTTCCTTGCCGTGCTGTGGTATGCTATAATAAGAGTAACAGCATGCGAGCTGCCGGTGTGACAGGAGTCTGTCACAAGTCAAACTGAGCTTTTCAGTCAGCATCTTTGCCATCTGTCACAGGCTAACACCGGGACACAACCCTCCGCCTGCTGTGTTACGATCGTAACGCTAATTATCTCCTGGAAAAAGTGCGTGGAGCGTCATTATTAACTGTGTGTGCGTACTCATACGGTTACTGTCGTTATTATTAACTGTCCATGCTCGTCGACACTTTAATCGCTTTAGAAATGTTGATCGTTGCTATGACACCGAACAAACTTCCGCCACGACAGATCGTCTATGTAGCAGCGCTTCACTCAAGGTGTAATACTAATGCTAGGCACGCAAATTCGCACTGATTCCTGGTTTTGTTCTCTCACGTGCTTTAATCACGTTTGTTGTTTTAAAAATGTCTTCACGCAACATTTCGATCATCAAAACTGTACGCTTTGCCCAGTTTATGTAGCTTTTGCATCCAACTCCAGAAGTATTTGGAATTAGGGTTAGAGTGGAGCCTCTATAATAAACCATCCGTACTTGTACTTCACCATTTGACCGCAAGATGGTAGTCCCCGTTAGATTGTGTGCTTCTTTCTGTTTAAAAAAATAGAGAGTGATTTGAGTAACAATCTACAGCATACAACAGAGTTACTTAATTCAATTTAAATATAAAAACTTAGGTGGCATTATTGATTACAAGGTTATTTTGAGCTTGTTTTTATATTGTTAATGTTGCTCATCATCATTAAGGTATAAATAATTTTATATTAAATATTTTATATTATTGTTAGTTGTAGAATTAGTAGTAGTATGCGCACAAGTGTTTTTTTCAGGATTTTATTTTATTATAAGTTTTTACAAGGATTTCAAGTTGCTGGGGACCCACAGAAAAGATGATTCCATCAGAATTGTATTGTATTTTTAATTGCATAAAAAAGTACAATAAAAACACAGTCCGATCACATCTGTAAATAAGCTCGTTACAAATTAAACTTTGCAAAGAAAGCAAGTTAGCCCATGATAAACTGATAAACAGTGACAATATGCTCAGTGGCATATTCAGTCTGCTTAAATAAGTTCACTTTAAGCATTTTAAAGCAAAATAAAAGCATAATACCGCTTTTATTAATGCTTTTGTTGTAATTCACATTGCAACCTTGTGCCTAAAGTGTTCTGTAAAAAGAAAGTTCTTCATGGCGAAACGAAGAACCAATTTCTGCAGTAGAAGACATCAGAGGACAAGAAGTCTTAAGTGGATTTCGAGTCATCCTGTTTGCTAACAGTTTATAAAAAGAACTAACGGAAATGTGGGTTGCTGGGAATCGTAGTTCTCCCTTTGAGGTAGCGGATATGACGCATGTGTTGTGCAGCGGGTAGCTGGGTGTCGTCCGCAGTCTCCTTTGCTGTAGTTGGATGAATCAGTCGACGTTGACAGTCAATGGGATATGACAGTGCTTTTGTAGTACACCGCTAACTTTAGCTAGCCCGTTAGCTGGCTGTCAGGTCTTTAGGAGTGCGTTAGCCGAAAGAGAGAATTTCCAGTGCCAAGGCATTTTTGAACAAAGTTGTACAATTCGTCCGCCTTAATATAAGATGACGCTGATGATGTTTTCGGCTAAAGGAAGCTAATTTAACTTAAGCTAGATGGCTAGCTACCGTGTCATCAACTTGTGAATGTTATAACTTAGTCACTGTGCGGGCCATAATAACCTTATTCATTGGAGAGTGTAGCTAACTAGCCGTTGTATTAGCCGGGTAGCATTACAGCGTGAAGTGAGAATCGAAACGAAGTTAAAGTAGTGCTAGTGAAGCTAGCTAGTTTTAACTCTTAGAATGAAAAAGACACAGCCTGACACATTGGATTTTGTTCCTCAAAAAGACATCGTATACAACAAACTTCTGCCGTACGCGGACAGGCTAGACGCTGAATCCAATGATATTTTGAGTAAGATAAAGGGAAACTTGGGCCGAGCTGTTCAGCTTCGAGAGATATGGCCCGGTGTCCTGTTTTGGACGAGGAAACTTTCCACGTAAGTAACACTAATCTCTAATGTCCTAATGTAACAGTTGTTGCTCACTTGGTAATGTTTGCAATATTGAGCCTATTGAGAAGTAACGCAAACAACATATATTTTTACCACTGTAACTCGTAAAGTGTAAAATGCGGTGTGTTTATTATATAATACGCCGAAGTGTTTTGTAGGAACTGTGCGCACACTGATCAGTCAAACCGAAAACTTTGATTTGTTTTGCGTGTTTTACGAAACACGGTCGTTGCCTCACGGCCTGCTGTGCTTAATTACTTATAAAACGCTACACAGCTTTGAATGCCCGGTAGCTACAGTCTGTCGGGCATCTGATTAGGGACTCTACGGGTTTCATAATCAGGCCAGTGTCAAATACACAACCTGACCCAGACAGAGCGGCACAGTAGTGGGTCATTTAATTCCTGTTCTGCAGCTGACATTTTTATTTTGAAGCAGCGAGTCAGATGACGGCTCACCAGATATCGCAAAATTAAAATTTTATGGTTTCCTGTTAAACTGCCTCAAAGGCGGCCCTTGTGCATAACCACCTTTTGATATGCATTATAATAGTTTAAGATCATGTTTCAGTGGTCCACGTGGCTTTCTGTTGAATGTTTGTGCCAAGCTCTTCAGGTGAGGACATATATGGTCTTGCTTAACTCAGTACAGTGCATAAACATGACATTTAACATTTAACCCCCAGATTTCACCAGCAAAAAAATATTGTCGGTATGGATAGTTGATTACATTATGCTGTTTGATGTTGTACGTGGTTACAGGCCTGCTTTAATCCGTTTCAGTCCCAAAAGCTGGCTCATTGCACTTTTCAGGAGTGACTCACTGCCGGATCAGGCAAACAGAAAGTTGACTGTTATGCTGACCCAGATTGTGTTTACCAGTATTTTTGCACTTAAAGATTGATTAAAAAAACATTTTCATTTTAAATTGTCTACAAGCTTTATTCAAGTGTAGTATTTATTTTAAATATGACTTTTCTTAAATTATATTGATTACCAAGTTCATTACATTCCTGTGTCTTATACATGTAAACACTTTTGACCTCTTACTATCTGTCCTGAAACTGGAGTAATTTTCCCGCATTCTCTTCTCCTTAAGGTACATGAGACTGTATGGGCGCAAATTCAGCAAAGAAGACCATGTGCTGTTTATCAAGTTGCTCTACGAGCTAGTGATGATACCCAAACTGGAGATCAGCATGATGCAGGGCCTTGCTCGGCTTCTTATTAACCTCCTCAAGTAAGAGTGGTTCCTGTCTGGTTTACTTAACAACTTGTACAGATGTGTGTTTTGGTTTCTCCAAGAGTGAAGTTACATTTAAACATGCCGCGTGCTCACCAGTGATGATTTGTCTGGTGAAGACTGCATGATCAGGTAGCTTTTGCGTGTTTCTCAATTTCTATACATATGTCATCTTCATATTAACAGGAAACGAGAACTCCTGTCAAGGGAGGACCTTGAGTTGCCATGGAGACCGCTGTATGAGCTATACGACAGGATCCTTTTCTCAAAGACGGAGCATCTCGGCCTCAACTGGTTTCCCAAGTATGCCTGTGGTTTTAAGTGAAGGCTGCAAATGTTGTTATTAAAAAATAAATAAAAACAAATGAAAATTGTGCTTAAACTTAGAAATGAGGTATACTTTTTGGTTTAGCTGTTGAGTCAGATTTCACAAATTAGGTGGGATGTTTTTTAAAAGCAGCAGAAAATGTGCTTTAGGCAACATTTATTTCACGGTTAGTCTGAACTGCACATATGGCAGTCAAATTGCACTGAACAGCTCCTCCACCTCTACATTGTTTTAAAATATGTGATGCAATCATCTTTATTAATACTTCTTTGTAACTTTAAAAAAAAAAAAAAGCAACTATTTCCTATTCACAACCTCTTTAACACAGCACTTGACCAGCTGTGTGGAGGTTGGAGGAAGTCTGATTCCCTCCAACACTCCTGCTATTTATTAGTCAACTTTTTGTTGCAGTTTTCGTGTGCGCAGCAACGCTGTCTCAGAAAAAGAATGTCCTGAAATGTGCATTATCATATTTATTGTTTTAAAATGACTCATTTCTCATCTTTCTCTAAGTTGGCCAACTCTTCACTCTGCCTGCCAGTGCGATTGTCAAATGTTATCAGGAAGGATGTCTTAAAAAGAAAAAAAGCTTGCTCCGCAACATCACGACCTGGCCGTTAGAAGTCAAATTTTTACTTTTTTCATTTCATAACTTCAGTAGACTGTTTCCCTGGTGTTAACATCCATTTATTTATTTTTCTCAATTCAAATTAAAAGGGATCCCTTGTGATAGTTGCTGTTTAATTCAAATTATGGCCTGGTTATTTTCAAACAGACTCGGCATGTCTTCAGAATAGTTTTGTAGAGATTTTACAGTGTTGTTCTGTCCTGTACAAGACGTTCCCTGTGAAGTTCTTAGCAAGCAGTGCGAGGTGCTCTTTTAGGGTGCTATGGGAACATTGCTACTTTGCTAGCAAAATGCTTTCACATTGAGCCAATGTAAGCAAGCTGCTTTGGTTGGTCAGCTAATCCTTGTCCAGCCCATATTAATGCACACAAAAGATAATATGTTGTATAAGTTGCTGCACAAGTAATAGGCACTATCTTGTGTGCTGAATGTTTTTTTTATGCCTTTGTCTCCTTTTACATTCAGTTATCTACGGCCTCGTTCATCCTCTAAACACGTAATGATAAAATTGGTTCAGAGGTGGTAAGGATAAACATTTCTCTTTGTGTTTTTTGTTTTTTTGTTTTGTTTTGTTTTTACTTTGAATTCATCCTTTGAGACACCATGTTGCATGTGAAAGTAAAAACTGGACACCCCATATGCAGCTTGTGAGAGAAGGAAAAAAAATCAGAAGTTAATCAATGTTAACATTTCACCCATATTGGAGACTGTCGCACTGCAGCTAACAAATTTTTGTATCATTCTACTCTTCCCGATAGCAACCATTAGCTCATATTAATAGATGATTCTTTTATTTAACATGTTTTCTTACATGCTTCTAATCTTTCATGTTATGTTATGACAGCATCAGATTTTGATGACCATTATTAAGATGTAGTACAGTTTACAGTATTTATGACACACTGTGAAGCATTCATTATGTTTTATGCTTGACTTTAGTTTCATTAACTCATAAGCTGTCTAGCTTTTTGTTGTTTTTCTTGTTACACATCCCCACTCTAACCTGCTTTGAAGTCCTTGGT